AAGGATCCAGGGGCAGCCACAGCTGTGTCAGGGCCTCCCCACCCTCCCAGGGAGGAATTCCTTCCCAATACCCAGCCAGGCTGATATTCTCCACTACTGCCTGCCCACTGATCACATCATTGTGTGATGAGGTTCCTTTCATACATCAGCAGCACATTTGTTTGGCAAAGCGAAGAATCTTGTCATAACAATTTATATTTAGTCTCCAAATGTGGCCTTTAATTGCTAATTACAGAATGCTACTCACAGGTTGGCAAATCACACACACCAAGAAGGAAAAGCCAGTGAGGAAGAAAACAATTGGGGGTTTATAAGGGCTTAAGAAAGAAACAAATGTGGTCTTTAATTATCTTAGGGTTAAAAATAGCAGCTGAGAAATAAATGTAATTCCAATATTGATGTTGAAGTGGGGGTTGTGTCACAGCTGCCACAGCAAGGCTGTCCCAGGGCTGGGAATCACTAATTTTGTGGGAAATTTTTGGGAACAAGGGTGGCAAAGCCCACCTGGATGGCAGGAGCTGCAGACAGGGACTGACAGATGGGGGCTCTGGGGCTCTGGGTCACAAACTCAAACCCAGATTTGGGATGCTGGGGGCAGCAGAGAGGGCAGAGCAGGGACACTTGGGACATTCCTGGATCTCACCACCCCCAAGTGGGACCCAGGGGGACAGGCACATCTTTGTGGGCACCTCTCTGGGCCCAGCTTTCTGGCAGGAGCTGCTTTGTGTGCTTTGATTTCTATTTTATTTTATTTCTTCACAAACCTTTTATTTACACACGATTCTTGATTAGCCTGTAGAGAGCATTCAGTCAATGGGCTCAGTCCCAAACACATCCCAGTCCTCCTTCAGTCTTCAGTTCAAGCAATGTCAGTCCAGATAATTTTATCTTTGCTTGCAAGATAATAAATTAGACAGAAAATTATATATAGCTCATTGGAGAAAATTACAGCCCTGATCCTCGAGATCCTGATCTCAGTCCTCTGTTCTTCACTTTTACTACTTCTGTTATTTGCCCTCCTAATTGTGTCTCTAATTAGGCAACCCCAGACTTCTCAATCTCATTTTGCCAGAGGTTTTCTCCCCCAGGGGCCTCATTGTTCTCCCTGCCATTAAGATTACCCATCAGTACAGTTGTGCACTTATTTAAATGCCAGGTCAGGATCTCATCTCTGCTGTGAGTTCCTCACTCTGGGATGTTCTCCCTGGGCCTGCAAACCCTGGCTGCCATTTCCAGGCAGTCTCAGCTCCTACCTGAGCAAGCCCAGGGGGCACAGGGGGTGGGATGCTCCTTGCATTGGATATCCCAGGAGAGCTGGGCTGTCTCTGCACGGTGCAGGAGATGTCAGCTGGATTAGTGCGGGAACTCAGCACATCCCTTTGGGTGTCCAGAGCTGCTGAGAACCCTGTCAGGGGGCTCAGAGACCCTGGCATGCTGCCCAGAACACCTGATGGCTTGATTTTGATCCTTGCAGCGAAATGCCAGCTTTGTATGAGGATGTGAAAGTCACACAGGTTTGAATGGTGTAATAACAATATATTCACAGGGTGAAAATGTAGATTTTAGGATTTTTGGTATGGGGGTTATGGGGACAAGATGAAGGAACTTGGGCATGTTTAGCCTTTCTTCTTCTTCTTCTTTTTCTTTTTCTTCTTCTTCTTCTTCTTCTTCTTCTTCTTCTTCTTCTTCTTCTTCTTCTTCTTCTGCAGTGATGTTGGCACTTTGGGATTGGTTTAGAGTAGAAGTGCACTGTCTAACATAGGTGATAGCTATTGGGAATTCTGTGTAAATATGTTATACGTAGTTTGTAGTGTAAAAGGACAACACAGAGTGCCTGTGGCTGCCCTGCTGAGCAGATCTCAGCCGGGCAGAAGGAAAATTTTATAGATAAGGATTAGTCAACAACCTCAAGACCAAAAAGTGAAGAGTCCAGACTTGTTCTTTGGACGCACTGGCCAAAACAGAGACATCCTGCACATCTCGGGGCAGAGAACATCAGCAGCCAACTCAAGGGATTAGGACAAAGGGGAATTGTTTTAAACTAAAGGAGGGGGGAATAATTTAGATATTAGGAAGGAATTCTTGGCTGGGAGGGTGGGGAGGGTGCCCAGAGCAGCTGTGGCTGCCCCTGGATCCCTGGCAGTGCCCAAGGCCAGGCTGGATGGAGCTTGGAGCACCCTGGGACAGTGGAAGGTGTCGGGGTTGAAACTGGATGAGCTTTAAGGTCCCTTCCAACCCAACCGTCCTCTGATTTTGTGATTCATTTGGCAACGAGAAGTGATGCAGTTTGCTCCTTTGCTGGGGTGAGCATCACTCCAAAATCCACTTTGACAAGAAGCCAGAGCTGCAGGTAAGCCTGGGAGAAGTGGAATTTGTCTCCTCTTTGCAGATGCACAGGCTTGGATATTCTGGATTTCTGTCCAGGAGCCAGAGGCATCCCAGGAGCCCAGCCTGGCTCTCAAACCCTGCAGCCTTCATCAGCAGTGCTACTTAAATGTACAAGAAATGTCTTTTTTTTTCCTGGACTTTTCCCAAAGATAATTTGTAATTATATTTTACAGCTTTATATATATATATATATAAAAGACAGTGCGTTAGTCATGCAAATATAATTATATATTTTACGTTCCCGTGTCATTTTAATTAAAAACATGGTATTTAAAGCACGTACATCTCAAAAACCCAGTATAGGCTTCTATTAAAAATGCAGTTGGTTAAAGCTAATGAAGTACCTGGACGGGCCAGGACAAACAGAGCCTGCTCTGTTGCCGTGGGAACAGCCGAGAGCGCCCGAAATACCGGGGAAAATGTGACTGGGGACAGAACCAGCCCCAGCCCCAACCCCAGCAGCCTTTTCCTGGCTGAAAATGTGACTGGGGACAGAACTCTCAGGTTCTGAGTTGCTGAAATGGCTCCCAAGGTAATAAAATTTTTTCCCAGCCCTGTGCTCAAAGAAGAAGTTGAGATTCCTCAGCTCTGGTTCTCAAGGTTGTTTATTTTTCCTTATCTATAACATTCTTTTTCTGACCTGCTGAGATCTGTCTGGCAGGTCAGGTTGTGGCACACTGACCACCCTCAGGGCAGTGATATCTTTTTATACTAAGAACTACCTGTACTTTATTTACAATAATTTTCCAATACCCATCACTATGTTAGACAGTTTGTCTCTATCCTAAACCAATCCAGAAGTGCCACCATCACAGCAGAAGATGGAGGACAAGAAGAAGAAGGAGAAAGACAGAACACACCCAGATTCTTCTGTCTTGCCTCCTGAACCCCCATTCTAAAAAACCCAAAATCCTACTTTTTCACTTTTTCACCCAGTGATAAATTAACTATTATTCTGCTCAAACTCTTGTGGCTTGTAACTCTTCAAAACAGCTGGTATTTGTTTCCATGGGTTAAAATCAAAGGCACAGGTGTTTTTGATTCTGTGCCAAGGTCTCTGAGCCCCCTGCCAGGGTCTGGAGTCCTCCAGGGCAGCCAGAGGAATGTCCTGGGTTCCAACACAGAACCAGCCCCAGCCCCAACCCCAGGGGCCTTTTCCTGGCTGAAAGTGTGATTGAAAGACAGAACCAGCCCAAATCCCAACCCCAGTGGTCTTTTCCTGGCTGCTGTGCCAGATGTGGCACATCTGGGCCAGATCCCATCTCCCAGGGCTGGAGGAGCTGTTGGGAGTGGTGGAGTGGCCATTCCAGTGCTGGAGGCCCACAGGAACGCAACATCAATATTGAATTTAAATTTATTTCTCAGCTGCTATTTCCCCCCCTAAGATAATCAAGGACCATGTTTGTAGCCACATTTCTCTTCACAGAGAAAAGCAAGGTACAACTTCCCAAGAATATTTCTGGGATTCACATTCTCTGAACCTCAGGGAAAGAAAAAACAGTTCTTATCTCATTTACTGCTCCTGTGTTTTGGAACAAGTGGAATGCATTGTGGAAGATTGTTTACCTGATGGGAATTGGTAACTGGATTCTAGTTTTGATTTACTGAGCAGTTGAATCCAGGAGTGTGTGGAGACTGTGGGCTGATAGTCATGAGATTCTGGGCAGTGGAGTGCAGTTGGGAACTTGTTCAGGTTCAGTTTAGATGTAATANGACACTGCCAGCCCAGTGGTGTTGTCCCCTGTACAGGGACACTGCCAGCACAGCAGGGTTGTCCCCTGGACAGGGACAGTGCCAGCACAGAGGGTTTGTCCCTGGGGACAGGGATGATGCCAGCCAGCAGGAGGAACAGGGATGCTAGCCCGGGGCTGTGTTTCAGATATAAAGGAGGGTATTTAGGGCTCGGGCGGCCTGGAGCAGATGTCCCTGGGCAGACACTCCGAGGTGTCTGAGGTGTCCGGCAGCCCCGGGATCCTGCATCACCCTGGATCCCATTGGGAAGCTGCTGGAGCTGCTGGAGGGCCTGGAGTGGGTCATGGCAGGAGGGGCCCCGCAGTCACCTGTGTCAGGAGAACACCTCCTCAGGTGAGGAACACCTTCTGTGCTCCCTTCCCTGCTCCAGGAGGGTGCTTGGATGGCCCAGGGTTCCCCTGCAGGAAGGCACCAGCCAGGGCTGGATCTGTGGCATCCCCAGCCCAGCCCCAGAGCAGCCAGCTGGGATCCAGGCAGGTGTTATTTGTATTGGTTTGCTCTTATTTTGTGCTGAGGCTGGCAGTGAGCACTGACCAATAATTATTCTTAGCATTCGCCCACCAAAAGCTGGGATGTGGAAGATGACACCAGCTCGGATATTTGGCATGGCCAGGAACCTGTTTGAACCCAGGGATGAGGTGAGGCAGCCTTTACAATACACTTCTTGTGAGCTGCCCTTACCCAGACAAACAGAAACCAGAAGCTGGATGGACAGAAAGCAGGTTTAACACTTATTGCCAGCACTGTTTCCAGCAGGGTGCAAATGTACCCAAACCTCAGCAGCAGAAACCATGAACCCAAATGTACCCAATCCATGGCAGCAGCAGAACCTTCAGAGTCACCTCTGGACTCATCTCAGCTTTTCTGGATTTCATTCTCTTTTACCTCAGCTTACCACAGTTAAGACAGTGATTTTAAAAAGCTAAATTTAATTTCTTTTAATTCTTCCTAATATGAAACATGAAACAACTTATTAGTTAAAGAGCAAATCAAGCTTGTAGGTTAGAGCAAAACCCACTCCCTGCTCTGGCATCCAGCACAGCAAAAGCAGCCTCCCGTGCACTGCTGATTATTTTTCTGGCTCCAGGCATGCAAACATAAACCACAAAATCACCCAGAACCTTTTTAGAGATGCTGGGACTGCACAAACCGTGAGTTCACCAAAGGAAAGGTGAGCATTACAAGGGCCCAGTTTCTTTTCAGTTCTCTAGCTCCATCTGTAATTTTTTAATCTCCAGGAACAGTTTCTGGATTTCCAGCAGACTTTTCACTTTTTCCACAGGCACACCACATTCAAAGGTCGATTTAATGTAATGAACCTCTTGACACACATCAGCATCACCTTCTTTCATCTGTTAAAACAGGAAAACAAAGCCCAGAAAAGCCTGTGAGGATGGGCTGCAGCAGAGGCAGAGCCACCCCCTCCTCAGCAGTGAGGCTGCCCTGTCCCAGCCAGGGCTGCATCCTCCTCAGGACCAAAAATTAAAAACTTTTGAGAAGTTTAGGCAGTTTTCATGTTAGAAATCAGGCAGCAGCCACCCAGAGACTCAGCCAGGCTCAGCAACCTGAGGCTCTGAGCACTTGGGAAAGTTCCACCATGGCAGGGGTGGAACTGAATGATCTTTAAGGCTCCCCCCAACCCAACCATTCTGTAATTTTGTGGTACTCACACACTTGGGCAGTGCTGTCCAGCTGCCATCAGGCAAGCACGTGGCTGTCCAGGCATTTTCCATCATTCCATTGTCTGGGAACTGGTAGCCAGGAAGGCACTCCAAGGTGACAGTCTCGTTGGTCTGGTACCACGTTTGCTCACCCAAAGGGCTTTTCACCTTTGCAAAGGGCACTCGTGGTTCTGGACACAGGACTGAAAGGAAAACCCAGGGCAGAAGGCAGCTCAGCCAGAGGTCAGAAAGGAATTTGGGAAGTGCAGAGGAACTTAAAATTGTGGAGCTGTGAAATCAAAAATACTTCTTTTCAAGAAGAGAGTGAAGGTCAGAGCAGCCCCTGCGAGGGGCTGTGAATTCCTCATGGATTTGCTGTTTCTGGCAGTGTCTCAATCCAGGCAACCCATGGTGGGGGTGGACATTTGGCAACAAGGGAAGGGAAAGTCAGTGAGCTCCTGACCTGTCTTAGACCTCCTTTACACACAGCTGTCAATAAAACCTCAACTATTACCTGGAAAACACCAGCTTTGGGAAGGCTGTTTCTTCTGCAAAGAGGAGAAGGACTCAGGAAGCCCCAAGGACAGACAGAGCCAGGCAATCCTGCACCCCAAGCCCTCTGCTCTATCCCAGGGGCCACAGCTGAGCAGGAGATTTTGGAAGCACCCCTAAATGCAGGAGAAGGTCACAGTTTCATTCACCTCATAGCACAGCTTGTTAGTGATGAATCACTATATCCTCCTGCTGTGGGGGTTTGGGACACTGAACTGAAAGGAAAATGCACATTAAAAATCCAGGAATGGGAGGTGGAGGAGAAAATGCTCACTCACCTGGCTGGCAGGTGGGCACGGGCGGGTCCCAGGTGCCATCAGCCTGGCACTGAGTCTGGGCAGCACCACGCAGCCTGAAGCCTTCCTCACAGGAGAAATGCAGGAGCAGCCCATAGGGAAAGGTGAACACCTGTGGGGTCATCCTTCCCCTCTCCACCACGGGCTTGGGGCACCGAACCACTGTGGGACAGAGCAGAGCTGGCACTGGGCTCTGGGCACAGCAGAACCCGGGCAGGGCTGCTCCTCCCAACCCCTGATGGTGAGGAGAACCAGGGTCTGCCACTTCCAGAGGGATCATCCCCCCTCCTGTGGAGGAAGCAGCCCTGCCCGGTTTGTTCTGAGTGCTGGCATCAGGCTGGTGCCATGCCCTGATGCCACAGTGACCCCAAACCACTCACCCCTGCACTCGGGGGCAGGCCCGCTCCAGGTCAGGTTCTCCCCATCCTCGGAGGTGCAGTAGAGGGATTTGTGCCCGATGAGGGACAGCCCCTCTGCACAGCTGTACTTCACTTCAGAGCCGTAGGTGAACCGGGTGAACCCCATGCCAGAGTGCTGCCCGTTGGTGATTTTGGGAGGGGGACCACAGACTGGGTGAGAGTAAAGGGAAAAGTCAGGTTTTCCTCATCCCGTTAGGGAGGCAGAATGCAGGGAGGTAAGACCAGAGGCTGGTTCTCTGTGTTCATGGCATGTGTTGCTCTCCTCGCAGTTCTCCCTGCCCCTGGCCAGCTTTGGCCATGGCTGTGCCAGTGCTCCCAGGCTGACCCAGCAGAGGAACCCACCCTCAGCACTGCAGCACCTGTCCCCTCCCCTTCAGCCCCTTCCCCTTCCTCATCCTCTCTCTTTTCCATCCTGCTCCTAAGCAAGGTCAGGGAATGGTGAGCATCATAAACCCTTTGAAGAATCCTTTTAGAAATGGCTGAAAATCCCATTAACCATCACATTTCACCAATCACAGTTTTGGGAGAAGATGGAAATGCCAAAGCCCTTCACTGCTGTGCCTTGGGCACCTTCTCACACAATTTTCTCCCTGCTGTCCCTCCCTATTGTATTTGCAGGGCGCTCCATGGTGATGAATCTGACTCCATGTTCTCAGAAGGCTAATTTATTATTTCATGATACTATATTATATTAAAGAATACCAAACTAAACTACACTAAAGAATACAGAAAGGATACTTAGACAAGGCTAAAAGATAATAATGAAAACTTGTGACTCCTTCCAGAGTCCTGACACAGCTTGGCACTGATTGGCCAAAGAGTCAAAACAATTCACATGAAACCAATGACACAATCACCTGTGGGTAAACAATCTCCAAACACATTCCAAAGGAGCAAAACGCAGGAGAAGCAAATCAGATAATATTGTTTTCCTTTTTCTCTGAGGCTTCTCAGCGTCCCAGGAACAAAATCCTGGGCAAAGGGATTTTCCAGAAAATATGACAGTGACACCTCCCCACGGATGGCATCCCCAGCCCTGTCCCCACTCACCTCTGTCACAGTGGGGCACGGGGGGTCTCCATATCCCATCAGAGGAGCACTGCACCCTGTCATTGCCCCGGAGCTTGAAGCCATGGTCACACTGGAACTCCACCTGCTGCCCAAAGGTGTACTCGGCTCTGCTGGGGCTGGTCTCTGTCCCGTGGGGGATGGCCGGGCGGGGACACTGCACCTCTGGGGGACAGCAGCAGCAGAGAGGAGAGGCTGGCACAGAGCCATTGCCAGCCAAGCTGCCAGGCAGCGCTGCCAGGCACCTCTGAGCAGAGCTGGCAGCCTCAGGGATGGCAATTACAGGGTAACAAGAGCTGCTCTTGGAAGGCAGAAAGATGTGAGTATTTTATTCACAGGCAACCCCAACGAGGGGAGAGAATGATTAGAAGGAGTCTATTGATATCAGAAGGTGAATTAATTACTATATTATATTAATAATATAACAGTATAACAGTATAGTATAATATAAAATAAAATAGTATAATAATAGTATAACATAACAATAATAGTATGACAATAATAAAGTATAGTATAATAAAATAATATATTATAATATAATAAATTAATATATTACAACAATACTATAATAGTATTATAATAAATATATTAATAACACATAATTATAATAATTATATCTTATTAAATAGTATATATTATATATTATTGAATATAATAATATAAGTAATGTATCGATATTCTATAATATATAATTAATATATTAATGATATAATATTACTATTATATATTATTAAATATTATATATTATTGTTAGTAATATATTAATTATATTATTATAATAATAAATATAATATTATAATATATTGCTATATAGTATATTATTATACTATATTATTCTATATTATATGACACGATATTACATTACGTCTGAACTGAATCTGCCAAGCACTCAACCCTGCACACACTGCACAGAATCTCGTGATTGTCACCCGACAGTCCTGACACACACACACACACCTGGCCCTGACAGGCCAAGAGAACAAAACACCATCACTTTGGGTAAATAATCTCCATATTGCATTCTACTTTTGCACAAACACAGGCACAGCAAATGAGATAAGAATATTTTTGGGAAGAATTAAGCCTCGCTTTTCTGTGCGAAAAGAAATGTGGGGCTCCATGTGAGAGCCCGTGATCAGCTGGAAATCGCGCTGGGGGATGGCTCCTCACTGGCTGCATTTCTGAATTTTTGTTGGAGCCTCTAAATAACGAGGGAGAGCCGCAGCGTTTCCTATCCAGGCACGCCACCTTTTGAGCAGCGAAATTACTGCCAGGGAGAGCCGAGGATGCTGCGGGAAGCCAGGACGGGGTGTGACAGCCGTGTCCCCCCATGGGTGATGTGCTGGCAGAGCATGATGGCAGAACATGCTGGCAGAAACTGATCATTTTATTCTGAATTCATATGTGTTATGTTATGTTATGTTAATAATATATTATCTATATTCCAATATATATTATATATTATATTACTTATATTATTTATATAATATAATATATATTTTATATATGCTAATGTATATTATATTATATTATATTATATTATATTATATTATATTATATTAGCTAATATATATGCTAATATCTATTCTATTCTATTCTTAAAATAAAATTATATACTATAACTGCACTAAAGAAAAAGAAAGGAGACATCAGAAGGCCAGAAAAGAATGAATAATAAAAACCCGTGACAGACTCAGAGAGCCCAACACAGCTGGACTGGGGTTGGTCATTAAGTTAAAACAATTCGCATGCTGGGTAAATAATTCTCCAAATCACATTCCAGAGGAGCAAAACACGTAGAAGATGAAGCTTCTCAGCTTCCCAGGAGAAGAAATCCTGGCGAAGGGATTTTTCAGAAAATATGTGCCACTGCTGTACTCACTCTGGCACAGCTGGGGCACCGCGGACCATGAGAAGTTCTGGAGACAGGTGATGGTTGGGGACACCCCGGGGATGGGGGAGAAGCCGGTTCTGCACGAGTAGGACAGCGTGGTGCCAACAGGGAACTCCCGCCGGGGCTGG